TTACAAACGGGCATATTTTGGATGGGCGTGATTTGGCCACTCCATTCAATAATAATCTCCTGTCAAGTTTAGCGACTTCTTCTAAAGTGCAATTTTTCGTTTAGTGCGGACTCATCGTAACCTTTCTCCTTGAATCTGTATTTCAGAATACTGGCTTGTTGGTAATACGTATCCAGATTGGTACAATTCCTCCTTATTCTCTGGAATTGACCTTTCGGGATATTCGAAAGCCAGTTTGGATGGTGACAACTAAATGTGGGAATGTAACTATTCCTGTCCGTTTCTTTAAAGAAAGATTGTGTTGCCACCCCGCCGTTCTGGTTCATGAGCGTTAAATCCAGAAAATTAATACTGTTCTTACTATATTCATATGTTAATTTGATATTCAAATTATTATTATTCAAGGTTTTAAAAAAATTTATTAGTGCCTGCTCCTCACCCTTCCATATAAGCAAGATGTCATCAATATATCTCCTGTAAAAATATAGCTCTGGCCAATCTCTTGCATAAATGATGTCTTCCTCCCATCGTGCCATAAAGAGATTGGCCAGGCTAGGAGCGAACTTCGCTCCCATGGCCACGCCCTTGGTTTGTAGGTAAAACTTGCCGTCAAACCAAAAATAATTGTTGGTCATTGCGAATTCTAACAAACTTAAAATAAATTCTTTCTGTAATGTCTGCATTCCAATAAAATCGTTCAAATAAAATTCCACTGCATACATTCCATCCTGGTGTGCTATATTAGTGTAAAGGGACGAGACGTCAGCCGTGACCAGATATGTATCAGGTTCTATACTTAGATCTTTAACGTCTAAAAGGACCTGTTTTGTATCCCTAAGATATGATGGGGTCACCAAGGGCTGCAAAAAGTTATCTATGTATTCTCCTGCTCGTGAGCTTAAGGACCCTATCCCACTAATTATAGGTCTGCCTGGGGGATTTGTAGGGTCCTTATGTATTTTTGGAAGTATATACATGATAGGTAGCCTAGGAGCTATCAATACCATCAATGCTTAGTTATTATTGCCTACACTGATACTATTGCTGAGGGTTATTATTACTGCCACTGACACTAATGCTGGGGGTTATTATTGCTGCCACTGACACTAATGCTGGGGGTTATTGTACTCCACCCTCTTTACTTTACATTGCAACATGCTGCAAAAAATGCAGCAGGAACAACATTTTTATGTGTTGAGGTGTGTTATAGTTTATTTATTCTGAATGGGCTGTATAACGTGAAGCAATGCCCCTCAGCGCATGAAATTGTGCTGCTATTGGGCAGTCCCCTGGAAGTGTCAGGGGCTGCACTTGATGCCCCCTAAATGTTTGACTTGACCTTCACTGGTGTAAGGTATATAGTATAGCACAGATGCTGCATGTGCTTGCTTACCAACATCTTATTACCTGTCCCTGGGCATTGTCACTCCTGCCCATGGCCCATACTTGATATGCCCACCTTTTGGTGGTTCTGCCTAAATCGCACTCCTAATTTTGCAGGAACCAGCCACTCACTGGTGTTTTCCCCTCAGCTAATACCCTCTTTTAGATTACTGCACGTGCTCAGTAACTCAAACAAGGCTGTGATCTTGGGCCACAATCCAGAACACAGCAACAGGGTGATGGAGGACAGCTATGCAGGACTGTACCAGCAAATCTGTTGGCATCTATGCATGTGATAGAGAGACATGAAACACTGCGTAAAGCAGAGAAGTGCGAGGCACTGTGTGTAATAAAAAGACAGAAGGGAGTAATGCATGAAGTACCTTTTAAAAATATTGAAAATTATATTCACATGGGTGAAACACAGGATGCACAGAAGGGCTCAATACATGTCATTCATGTCAGAACAAAGATTTGCTCTCTTAAGTCAAATAATTTTTTATTAAAAAAATGTTTTTGCATACAGTGTATACAGCTTTTGGGCCCGTCAAACAATCGGCTGTAATACAAACACCCCCCCCAAAAACAAGAACAAGAATATATAAGAAGGAGCAAAAAAGAACAAAATAAGTTTTACCTCCGGATAAAATTAATTAATTTGACACATTAGCAAGGCCTTTTTCAACCTTTTCAATGCATAGGAACCCTTGAAAAAACTTTCCAGTCTCCGGAAACCCCTGCTAAAAATGAGTATATCTACAACTCGCAATATGTAAGGGTGATGGTCAATGGGATAAACAATAAAGTGGTCATTCTGGCACACAGAGATGAAGTTATATATGAAAACAATAAATGTATATAAACTAATGCAGGAGATGGCAATGGCAATGACATAAAACACTGTGAAATAAAGGTATAATGTTCATAAGTACACAAGGAGTCTATTAAAAGTCTCTCGGGCAATCAGCTGAAAGGTCAGTACTAATTACCGGCAGCCATCCTCGGAGCAAAGCCAGCTCTATATGCAAAGACAAAAGAAAGGAAGCAGGAGGTGCCCATCTAAGTGCAGCAGATAAAACTGTATTTAATGGCAAAGGATTAAAAACACTCACAAGAGTAATAAGAAAACAAGCTCATCTGTGTATATAGGGTGACCGTTCATCAACAACCTCCAGGCACTGTATTGCCATTAAATACAGTTGTATCTGCTACACTTAGATGGGCGCCTTCTGATTCCTTTCTGATGGTCAATGGGATAAATGCTCCTTACACCTTTGGTCATTGGGAAGAATTACTTTGTTACAGATAGCTAAAAGATCAGTGGTTGCAGTAGGAACCTATCTGAGAAGCAGAAACTGATCATTGCTCAAGGAACTCCAAGCAACCTCTGGTGGAAACCTGGCTGAGAAACACTGCATTAGCATATGTAGAGGGAGCATTGAGTAGGTACCACTAGAAATATAGGTATCCAGCATAATGGCTAACTGAGACTCATAACAGAGTACATAATAGTGCAAATAAAGTGTCCTTAGTATCAGATCGTCTGTCATGAAATACACAAAATAATAGTCGAGCATCTAGAAATAGGAGGTATTAAGGGGGATTTATTAAACCTGGTGCACTCAGAATCTGGTGCAGGTGTGCATGGTAGTCAATTGGCTTCTAACTTCAGCTTGTTCAACTAAACTTTGACAATACAACTTGGAAGCTGATTGGTTTCTATGCAGAGCTGCACCAGATTTTGTATGCTCTACCCATATGGAAAAAAATGTATTTGAAATATATGTTAAAAATATTCTTCCCAAATATATTGACATATATTTGAAATGCTACAATTTTGGCCAAATTCAATATACTGTATTTCAAAATACATTTCAATCAATATATATATATATATATATATATATATACTGTGTTGAAATGTGTTTTTATTACAAAATATATAAAAAAATATTTTTAAAAATACATTTCAAATATACTGTATGTCTTTAAAAATACAAATCTACATTTTTGAAATGCATTTACAAATATATGTTAAAATGACTTTTTTATATGTAAAAAAAAAATCTGAAGACTATATTTAAAAATATATATTTTTAAAAATATATTTTTTAAATACATTCTTCAGATTTTTATTTAACATATAAAAAAGTCATTTTAACATATATTTTTACATATATTTGTAAATGCATTCCAAAAATGTAGATTTGTATTTTTAAAGACAAACAGTATATTTGAAATGTATTTTTAAAAATATTTTTCATATATTTTGTAATAACGCATTGCAACATACAGTGTGTATGTATGTATGTGTGTGTGTGTGTGTGTGTGTGTGTGTGTGTGTGTGTGTGTGTGTATGTGTATATATATATATATATATATATATATATATATATATATAAAATATATATAAATGTAGTATTTCAAATATATGTAAATATATTTGGGAAGAAATATATTTCAAATATATTTTTCTTCTATGTGGGTAGTTTTAGTAAATTACCCACATTGTGCCCTTGTCTTTAAATGAATGTTGAATCACATCTTCAAAGCTCTGTCAGAGTCAACCATCTACACCTACATTGAACTGTAACTAAATGATACGTGTCAACATGATTATACAATAAAGTAAAAGTTCAGACCCCTGAAACCGTGTGTATGTGTTATCAATTGTTCTATGAAATGCATGGATGACGAGAGATCAATGTCCTAATACATGGGTCCTTACAAATGAGCCCAATAGCCGGTCTCTAATTAATTGTGGGGGAGCCAGACTCAGTATCTCTAACCAGTCATCTCATAATTATATTAATTTTGCCAGGGCATTTTCTATATTGTTATGTTAAATGTGTCCAGATCAGGACATCATTAACCGTTTTCACCCACATGGCATGTGTTGGAGGGGCTGGAGATATCCACGTCTGAGCTATAAGCTTTTGAGTTAAAAATAGCAAGCGATCGATCGCTGTATATACGGGTGGAGTAAAGAGTTCTCCATCCAGCCAACCCAGTATGCAAATATTAGGGTTCATTGGCAAAATAACCGTAAAACCCACATTTATGGTATCAAGGACATGGGTCCTGTATCTGGTTATTTTGGGACATCTCCTTATCATATGTATCAGTGTGCCATCATCAACTTCACAGTGTGGGCATAAGAAGGTATCTCCCTTGTGCCAGCCAAAATGTATTTGAGGAGTTTGGTATTTCCGGTTTATAATATAAAGTTGAATGACTTTCTAAGTGGCTTTCAGAGACACCTATAACACATTATTAAGTATATAAACTATCTCCTCATCATTAATATGACCTATATCCGATTGCCAGTATGTTACACATTTTGGTGATTGCTGGATCAATGATCCGCATAGTGCTGAGATTTGTCCCCACTTTGATGCAGAGGACAAAGTATGATTGAGGATAGTGGGCATGGCGTAAACCTAAGAGGTCAGTTTGGCCTGTGCCTGGACAACATGGTGCAGCTGTAAATACTGAAAGCATTTATAAGGTATACCAAATTCTTCCTTTAATATTTGAAATCTTTCAGCAACTGACCATGGTATAATTGTGCGGTGTAGAGGAAGCCTTGCGAAGACCATCTCTTCAGTTTTAGTAATTCAGGACACAGCCAGCATCCTTCTACTGAAAACAACAGTCCACAGTAAAATGGGGAAAGGCACATCGCTGAGGATGGTTATGGCAGTAAGAAGGTGCTCAGGTCTTACTTCTGCTTTTCCTGCTCCCACTGAGCCAGTGTCAGTCTTCTGGTCAAAGGTGTGAATGATCTTCAGCTCATCGACCGGGCAGCTGTTCATATACATGTGTCTCTGCAGCAGAGGTTTCCCTTGAAACATAGGTGACACCACCGTGACCTTGAAGCTGGTGGAGCAGTGATTGGGGAACGTGTCTTTCACCTCCACATGGTCAGCCTGCAGTTCCCACTGTAGCTTCTCCTTTAGAGCCTCACTCAGTTCCCAGCCATGACACCAGCAGCCTGCTACGCTACTGCGCCTGCATGCACCCAAAGGATCTGCACCCTTGTACCGATGGTCTCTAGTATCCATGTAACCTGTGAGATCTGCAGTCCAGCACACACAGCTCCCGCCCTGACCCAGAGGTTGTTCATACCTCTCTGTTACACACAGTGGGGTTTTTTGGGGGTTTTTTTGGTCTGTGAATGAGACACTGCTTGTAACAGACAGTACTTCCCTTACCACCATTTTTTACAAGCAGTGTCTTATGCCTAATAAATATACAAAGAATCCCCCTGCGCTCCACAGAACCTTGTAACCAAAAGTTAGCTGCTATCACCTATTCTTTATACCTTAAGATATGTGCAAACAAATTATATATATTATGATGAAGCGCTCAACTTATATAAAAGTGAAAAATACCTCCTTCCAAAATTATTATAAAATAATCAAAATATACAGAAACTAAATTATCATCAATCTATACAAGATAACTAGTGCAAAATCCCCACACACAAATGATAGGCCCCCTAGTGGTAAATAGTGATAATCAACTAATAACACTAACTGTGCAAAGTGATAAATATATCCAATTATATAAGAAAACAATTCAAAATCAATTCAGAAACATTTGTGATGCCACACTGTGCAAAATATTAAAAGTGTTCAATACACGGTGGTTATAACTTCACTCCATGCTGCAATTGTGCTCTTCGTGATACTCTGATGTGACTCCCCTGAATTTAGCCAAAATGCCCCCTCACCTTCCACATTCGACCCTTGCGGGTCACAAAGCTTTATATATGTAATATATCTCTGCCAGGTTTTTCATACTCCACTGACTCCACCGACTTAATTAAGATCCTCCTCCAAGCAATGAGTTCCTCTCAAATCACTTCCCTCACAATATGGACTCAAACACAGGGCGTATATGCAAGAAAAAGACAGACCTCCATAGTGCAACACTGTTTTAATGCACTTAAAGATAGAAAGCAAAATCGCTCTCACATATCCTCCAACAGAGAGAAGCAGTTTCCCATGTGCTATGGGTATACTCAGGTGTACAAAGATGGCGTCCGAACCCGGAACCGGAAGTACGTCACCCCTATGACCGGAAATGCGTTGACGCGTTTGTGCAAATTTTGCTTTCTTCAGAGCTTGTGCATCTCCATGAGCTGGCATCCATCTTCTAGGAGATGGATGCCAGCTCATGGAGATGCACAAGCTCTGAAGAAAGCAAAATTTGCACAAACGCGTCAACGCATTTCCGGTCATAGGGGTGACGTACTTCCGGTTCCGGGTTCGGACGCCATCTTTGTACACCTGAGTATACCCATAGCACATGGGAAACTGCTTCTCTCTGTTGGAGGATATGTGAGTGCGATTTTGCTTTCTATCTTTAAGTGCATTAAAACAGTGTTGCACTATGGAGGTCTGTCTTTTTCTTGCATATACGCCCTGTGTTTGAGTCCATATTGTGAGGGAAGTGATTTGAGAGGAACTCATTGCTTGGAGGAGGATCTTAATTAAGTCGGTGGAGTCAGTGGAGTATGAAAAACCTGGCAGAGATATATTACATATATAAAGCTTTGTGACCCGCAAGGGTCGAATGTGGAAGGTGAGGGGGCATTTTGGCTAAATTCAGGGGAGTCACATCAGAGTATCACAAAGAGCACAATTGCAGCATGGAGTGAAGTTATAACCACCGTGTATTGAACACTTTTAATATTTTGCACAGTGTGGCATCACAAATGTTTCTGAATTGATTTTGAATTGTTTTCTTATATAATTGGATATATTTATCACTTTGCACAGTTAAAGTGTTATTAGTTGATTATCACTATTTACCACTAGGGGGCCTATCATTTGTGTGTGGGGATTTTGCACTAGTTATCTTGTATAGATTGATGATAATTTAGTTTCTGTATATTTTGATTATTTTATAATAATTTTGGAAGGAGGTATTTTTCACTTTTATATAAGTTGAGCGCTTCATCATAATATATATAAGTGTCTTATGCCTCTCCATCACATTGTGTAAATCAGGGGTAAGCAACTTTAAAGAGGTGGAGATCTACCAGAACAGCATGGGAGAAGTCAAAGATCTCTGGGCAGTGTCGGCCAGTGTCACCTCCTCACACCTGATTTAAACCTCTAATTGACGTACTACTGTGTCACAATGGTGTGCATTGCATGGAGATCATGGGTTTAAATCAGGTGGTGAGTAGGCAACATATCTCCTACTCACCACCTGTCAAACACACTTGGATCACTTCACAGAGGAGCAGAAGTGTCTGCTGCACTTGTGAATGAGCCCTTAGTTGCATCTGGCAGCAGCACTCTTAGGGCTTGTTCACATGTAATGTTGGGGGGTGGTAAAACCCTGCGGCTGAGTCATTATTTTACCACTCCCAATCCCTATGTAAGCCGTGTACCGGGGTGGGCTCCCCAGGATACAATGAAGTCATGATAATTTAAGCAACCCCAACACCAGCTTTTGCTACAACAGAATTTTACTTAGATGTGGCAAATAAACACAACCACAAATGCTGGGAACATACAATAAATTTACATACACCCAGCCCAAAGGCTGAGACCCTTGTGCTGCACAGCACGGCGCCTTCTGATGGATGAAGGTAGAAAGTGAAGTAATTTACCTACTGGCGGGCACAACTAAGCTGCCACACCTTACCCGCTATTACCCTAAAAGAGCAGGAATCAGTGTATGGGTGTATGGTATGGGCTAGCCTGCGGTGCAGCACAACAGCTTACAGTCTTACACAAATCTACAGTATTCCCCCTCCCATAACTGGTCCTGTAGCACGTGCCTGAGTATTCCTTCTGAGCAAAACGCCAGTCTGGCTTGAGTTTGTGGGATTTTATCAGCTCTCCAATGTGAAATGTCACTTTAAGTTATGGAGTCCTTCCAATGATCAGTAACAACACTTGTGGCCTGACACAAACAGAGACCCTAACTAACTATAGGCCTGGTCTCAGTCTCAAGTTGCCAACACTGAAATGAGGTGAATGCATGATCTTACCGACCCGGGTCTGCTTTGCATCCACTGGTGACTCTGAACAGAACAAATGTCTCTCCAACAAGCATGTGATATCGCAGTATATGTTGCGTTGTTCTTCTGCTCTCATCAGCATTCCTGGCAGCAATCTTCCTTTCTCTGAACGGGATCAGGGTCTTGGACACGATCAGCTTCACTTAGCCGCAGCTCTGGTTACTGAGGGATGCACTCACACCTGGATGTCATCGGATTCTCAGCTCACACGGCCCCTTCATTCAGCATCGTCCAAAACATGGCTGCAGTCTCCTCTTACTGTTCACTAAACTCCATGTGAAAACCCCACCTCTTATTAAATATAGAAATATCTATGCAGTCCGAGGCCCTGTTAGAAAAACAGTGACATCTTGTGGCTAAACCGCAGAATGTCACTCCAAAACGTTTAATTTACTCCACACAGTGTTCAAACAATGAGAGCTGTTTCCCCACCTCACACCTACCTCCTTTAGAGGTTGAGACAGCAGCCAAAGGTGTACACATGGCACCGCCAGTGGTTTTTGGTGGGTGCTGCTGCCTGTCAGTCAAGACTCATTCAAGAAAATGAGGCCACCCTGCAAGTGCCTCACAACTGCATGCTTCTGCGTGGTCCAAGGGGTTAAAGCAGGTGGTGAGAAAGCAACACACCTGTTATGATCCGCCAGGTGGTGCCTCAGGCTGCCAACTGACAGACCTACCCAGAGCGTGGGTTCTAAGCCCAGGCTGTGCTTTCACCAGGGCCCCTGATGGTGGGGATGGACTTGTAACAGACCCGGGCCAGGTCACGACCTCCGAGCAGGCCCACCAGTGGCTGAGGAAGCCTCCGGGGACGTATGTGCAGGTACCGGGAGAGCCAGATGTGAAGAGGATGGTGGCCCTAGCAGGGTGGTAATGGACCGTGGTCCCATGGGGGTAAGCGGGGTACCGAATCGGCGGGCAAAGAGTAGTCAGGTCACACGCAGGATCAGCAGGGTAAGTCAGTCCGTAGAATGGTCAGATAAGCCGGGGGTCAGAATAGGAGAAGGCAGAGTAGTCAGGGCAATCCGGGTCAATCACAGGAGAAGGCAGCGTAGTCAGGGCAATCCAGGTCAAATCACAGGAGAAGGCAGCGTAGTCAGGGCAATCAGGGTCACTAGAACGGATACAGGAACTCAGGATCACAGATAGACCTTGCGGCAATCTGTGACAGTGCAGGGCATCTTTAAATAGTGCGCCCTGCACTGTCATTGGCCGGCCAGGACGCGCCCCTGGCTGTCATTGGACGCCTGAGGTACGCCCGTGGCTCCTACTGCGCATGCGCGGCGTCCTGTCAGCCGCGGCTCGCCGGGACCTAGTGCCTGTGTCCCGGCGTGATCTGACACCAGTGCGCATGCGCGGGGGGAGAAGCCGCGATCCATGACAACACCGCTGTCTGTTTAATCCCTTGTTTGCTGCACAAAGTAGCAGGTAACTTACAGAGTGGCCTCATTCATTTGAACAGGTCATGCTTGGCAAGTGCTACACCCACCAACCATGACAGGCCATAGGAGCCAGTACTACAGGGGAGACATCAACTTATGCGGCTCTTGCTCCCTAACAAAGCTCCAACTTTATAAGTAGTCCCTCTGCATTGCACTCTGTTTGATGCTCTGGGATGGCGGGTCAGCAAGCCCTGAACATGATCTATCAGTCACCTGGCCGAGATCTACTGGTAGATCACGATCTACTGGTTGCCGACCCCCCAATGTAAATTGTCTGTGCTATATAAAAAGCTGTAATAATAATATGCAGTCTCCTTTTTCTACTAAAAACATACCTTGCAACTTTTTGCTTTATGCAAAGCAGCCTTTTATCTGTGGGTTCTTTCATTGGTTTTCATTAACAGTAGTTAGAATGCCTTTATTTTATTTCCTTTGGCTAAAATAAATGATTTTAGTATTTTAGGGCGGGAATTTGGGTTTCTTTTTGTTAGAGTTTTTATTGATATTTTAAATGTTAGCAGTGGAAAAAATGCATTGAATTTGTTGGTGACATAACTCTGTTATGGTGCAGTTTAGTCCATAA